TGAGAATCACAGCCCAATGCATAACCACTCTGCCACCACCGCTCCTCATTCTTCTGTGAGACCATGGCCTATTGAATGTTCTTTGCCAACAGTGCAATTCAAAGGGATCAACTCTTCTTTGGTCTTATTTATTGTCCAGCTCTCACATACACATGAACTCAAAACTCAAACCCACTGCCATCAAGTTGATCTCAACTCATAGTGACCCTATAGGACAGAGTAGAGCTGCCCTGGTGAGTTTCTGAAATTGTAACTTTTTAAGGGAATAGAAAGCCTTATCTTGTTCTCCCGTGGAGCCAGCTGCTGGTTTTGATCTGCGGGTGGTTGATAGCACATATTTGAACCTTGCTTTTCTATCTCTTTCATACTGATGTGACCAATTTCGGGGAACCTGATGAAACTTGCCAAAAGACATGGGCCATTGTCCTATGAGGAATGAGGAGCCCCCAGTTGTGTTTAAACAGGAGCTTGACATATTCGGATGGCTTAGGGAAAAAACGACCCGAGATGGTGTGGAGAGGGAGGAATGGCAACAGGAGAGGAAGCAGCAAAAGGCGCTCTCTCCTCTGCACCTGATGTTCCTGGGGCCTGTCACCCCACCAGCGCTGAGCAGGAAGAGGCTCTGGAGGCACTCCACGGGGACAGTAGCTGGCTCAGCCACACAGCACTTTGCTGACCCAACAGGAGGTTCGAGAGGCACCGTGTTTACTTGACTCCCTCATCCTTTGCGTCATGAATTGGCCGCGTCTAAGATCATATTAAGAGATGGAGTGATTCTGAAGGATTTTGAAACTAAGTCTGGCATCTTGTTAGCTCTTGGTTATCCACAGGCCTGGTTAGCGGCCGTTATCTGTCTCACAGATAAATAGATGCAGGGCCTGACTGGGGACAGTAAATAGACTGACATTAAAGGTCACACTTCAAAAGGGAAGGTGAGTATCTTAAGTTGCACCTCACTTCCCTGAATGCATCCGGTGTGTGGTGATTCACCTTTTGCCCTGAGATCCAGTAACAGGGAACGTATTGTAAGCAGTTAAAGGAATAGCAGGAATGTCCCTAAAAGGTCACTCCAATTTACCAGAAGCAAAGCGGAGAGAAACAAAGCTAGAGATGAGCCAGCTGAGGTCCGGAGACCAGGGTCCTGGCCGTACCCCTCCCAGGAACCTCTGTGGCTGCAGGGAAGTTACCCGGATCTCTGGTTATAAATGTCCCCTCTGCAATGTAAAGCCAGAGAAGAAAAATGTCATTTTTTAGGGTGCCAGGAAATTTCCAGTTAATAGGATTTAGAGGAGAGCTTGGCATAAGAAGTCAAGAAAAGGAAGCATCAAAAAAAAAAAAAAACTTTAGCTCTGACTCATATCCTCCTGTCTGGGTTTCCAGGGGTTGTAAATTTGGGGCCCTCTTGTACCCTGGCAGACATCACTAATCAATAAAGGCAGCACAGGTCATCCAGGCAGCAATGAGAATTCCTTCAACACAGCCTACCAGGTAGCCTGGACCAGTCCATCCCAGCGGGTTTGTCAGCACCCTTCCAGCTCTAAGTAGGGAACAATGAAACCCCCTCTTCTTGGGTGGAGATTTGACATGTCTGGCAGGCGGTTTCTCAGCAGAGCATTGGTCTGTACCAGAGGGATCCTGCTGTGCTCTGGGAGCAGTTGCTGCCTGCTAGGATGCGTCTGCTGTTCCTAAGGAAACAGAATGACTCGGTTCTGCCCCCTGCAGGCTAGAGAAAATATCACACACACCCCTAGTTAATAGGCAATGGAGGTATCTTAGAAACACCCCAGCAGATGGTCTGAAAGACATCTTCTCATAGTTGTAGAAGCTGCCGCAGCCCTGGCCATCTCTTCTCCATGCTCTTGCGGTTTCTAAAGCCAAGGCGATTAGCCTTAGGACCCACCCTGCACTGGCATGGGCTCATTCACATGACAAGGAACCCCTATTTCCACACAAGATCCCGTTCACAGGTACAAGGGCCAGGAATTGAACACGCGATTGTGCAGGGCAGCCCCCACCTTCCTCCCTTCCTCTAGGGCCTGTGGTGACCTACAGCCTTTTAGGAAAACCCACACCAAACAGGTCACTGTCAAGTTGACTCTGATGGCTGCCATGAGAGTAAGACGGAGCTACCCCTTAGGAAGGACCCCTTCAGACGGGCGGTGACCTCGCTGTCAGATCAGAATCATGGGAGGGACCAGTCTGACTGGCAGGAACCTCAGTGTCACAGAGCAGAACTGCTCTTTGGGAAGACTTGCGGGGCATGTCCCAGACCTTTGACCCTTTCCGCCAGCAGTTAGCTTCCCAACCGATCCCAGCCAGGATCCCCGGCACTGTGGGGCGTGGCCTGCAGGCGGTGGACAAAAGGAGAAGTGGGCAGGTGGGCTGGCTAGGTGGTGCAAGAGGAAGCCACGGAGAGGAGGAGCAGATGAGAGGAAAGAAGTGGGGACAGGAGGATGGGGGAGTGGTGAAGGTAACAGAAGTGAGCGAGGGCTGACAACAAGGAAGGAAAAAGGGGTAACTGGAAGTGGGAGGGAGAGGAAAGGGAATGGGGGGGTCGGGGAGCCCAGTCACCCACAGAGATGGTCCCCAACAGTGGCCTACCTGTCCCTCATCACACTTCCATTTCAACAGTCCATGGAAAAGTGTACAAGGAGAGTTCTCCCTACTCTGCTTATGGGGAGAGGGGCGTCCTCCACATGTCCTGCTTTAGAAACGAAGGGTTGTTCTTCAGATCTCAGGAAGTGACCCTGGGGGAGCTGCCTCTCCTGCTGGAGGGTGAGAATGTGCCAGGGCTCTGCCGAGCGTCTGCTGCCCTCTACTGACTAACGCTGGTCACGCTAGGCTCCCTGCAGTTAAGAGAAACGGACAGCTCATCCCGATTCACAGCAACCTGTCAGGAAAGGGTAGAACCGCCCTGTGGGGTTCCGAGCCTGTAATTCTACAGGAATAGAAAGCCTCATCTTTCTCCCCTGGAGCAAGCTGGTAGTCTCAAACTGCTGACGGAGCATGGAGCAGGCCCCCATATAACCCACTAGACACCAAGTCTCCTCCCTGCAGTTAAGGATCTGTTTTGTGACCGAGAGCAGACTCGGTGGTAGTGAGTTGAAAGGACTGAATTGGCTCAAAATAAACCAGACTTCAAGAGCTGAAAGGAACTCCGTTGGCTACCTCCAACCTCTTCCTCCTGAAGCTCCACATGTCCCTTTCGCCCAGCCTGCTGGAGGGTCCCACTTGGGCCTTCCCCAGCTTCCAGCTGGTGCTGTCACCCAATCCCACGTGCTTGAGCAGTTCCAGACGACACAGATGTGTTATAGGACCCTCTCGGAGGTCGGCGGTTGGCCACAGGTCTGCTTGGGCTGCAGTCACAGTGTCGCCTGGGCAGGGGTCCCTTCTGGAGCGTGGAGCCCTTTTTTTCCAAGACCATCTGGTGGGTGGTACCCCCCACCCTTTCAAGCTGGCTCTTGGGTGCTGGAGGCTGCCTGCAGTTCGGTGTCACCTGCCCTACCACCACCACCGGCTACTCACTCCTGGAGGCCAGCAGGGGCGCCTCTGGCTCCTGCTCACAGGCTCACACCAACTTGACAACAACTGGCAGCCAAGCCAAGCATAGCCTACCCAGGAGCCCCAAAGCCTGCCGGGCACCCCTTAGACCACACCCCAACCACACCCTCCTGCTATCATGGGACACGAGAGCCAGGCTCTCCTCATATTCATGTCCTAAGAACGATCTTTGAGATGGAGCATGCTCTCTTTCTATCGAGAACATTCCCCTGTCTTTGAAAACCACCATCCCATCAATGCAGGACACACAGGTCAGTGTGCGCAAGGCCTGGCAGGTCCACTAAAGCTTTCAGGACCTTTAGGTTAAGGTCAGATTGGTCCGGATTAGAAGTCAGCTCTTTGAAGCGCTCACTCACTGGGAATGTGAGCAGATTGCTCACTGCCTTCCAACCTGGGCTAGCTGGAAGGTTAATACCCCACCTGCAGGCCCCCCACGATGACTGAATGAGATGACAGAGAACCCAGGGAGCCAGCGCCTCCCCTGCACTGGCCACGTCTCTGCAGAGAAAGCCAGACGTGGAAGCTTCCTGCGCCTCGGTCTTAAGTATCCAGCAGTGAGACACTCATCTCTCTGTTGGACAGTGGTGGCATGCTGGCAGCTGTGCCAGAGGTATTTCAAATACCAGCAGGTCACCCATGTGGACGGGTTTCAGTAGAGCTTCCCGAGGGCAGCGTTGCCAAATGTGGTGTTTGAAGAGGGCCTTCTCCGGTAGGAAGGCACTCGGGTGCACTGGCGTGGGGACAGCAATGTGCTACTCCTCCAAGGAAGATAAGGGGACAGGGATAAGGTCAAAGCCAGGATATAGACCCCACACACAGCTGGGGAAGGGCTGCCTCCTCCAAGTAGGGTCACGGAAATACCAAGTATTGCTGGTGGGGTGGGGGGTGGCTTTGATAACAGACATGTATTTTCTCACAGTGTCTCATAGTCATTCAGTCAATTTTGACTGGAGGACAGACTAGCACTGCCCCTATGGGTTGCCGAGGCTGTAAAGCCTGATGGGAATAGAAAGCCTCATCTTCCTCCCTGGAGTGTCTGCTGGTTTCGAACTGCTGACCTTGTGGTTGAAGCCCAACATATAAGCCACTCCACCACCGGGGCTCCCTTCTCATAGTTCAAGGGGTTCGAAGTCTGTGTTCATTAGGAGAAGGTGTTCTGTCTGTGCTCTGGAGAAAACAGTCCCTTGTCTTCAGCTCCTGCTCTGGGCTCCTTGGAGGCCGCCCGGGGTCTTGGCATTAATGTGACACCCCTCTGCTCCCCTGGTTTGCTTCTTTAATCTCAAAAGAGGCCGGTTTGAGATGCGTCCACCCCACACTAGTCCTGCCCCATTAGCTTACGGATACATCCCAGTCCTAAATGGGATGCTAACCTCAGCCTGGAGGTGCTGACTGGGGACCACAGTTCAAGAGTTAAGGGTCTCCTTCTCCCTCCCCTGCAGGTTCCTGATCGTTCTGGGCTGCTTGATCCTGGCCGTTCTGACCACTTTCAAGGAGTACGAGACTGTCTCGGGAGACTGGCTGCTGCTACTGGTGAGCCTGGGGGCCCTGCTGTGTCCAGAGTGGCACCTGTGGTTGGGTTGACACCGCCATGGGTTGACAGCTGGCCTGGGGACCAACTCAGCTAACCGGTTGTGGCCAGCTGGAGCCTCTGGCCAAGTCAGAGCCCAGGAGAAAGCCCTGCCTGGTCAACTCCTGGGTCTGGCGCAGTGGTGGTTATGGGGTAGACATTTTGCCTCCCATTCGGGAGACCCGTGTTCAATTCCCGGCCAATGCCCCACCGGCATAGATGCCACCTCTCGGTCAGAGGAGGCTTTCCTGTTGCTGTGCTGTTGGACAAGTGCCAGTGGAGCTTCCAGATGAATAGGGACTCCGAAGCAAGGCCTGGAAATATCTGCCTCCAAACATTCGGCCAATGGAGACCCATTCCTAATGGAAATGGGTCCAAGCCTGCTGGGATTCTGGCAGGGGGGAGGTGGTGCTGGCCACCTGGAAAGGAGATGGAGGTGGCTCTTGATGGCCACGACACAGCAGCACAGGCACAGAAAGTGTCAGGCACGGCCTTGGTGACAAGGATTTGCTCTTCCTCCATTAGAGGGCACAGGAGCAAGGTCAAAGCACACCCCACACCCCTTGCTAAGGAGACAGAGGGCAGCACCCTGTCCTCTCTACATTAACCCCGAGGCAGAGTCCATTCTAAGACCTGTGCGTGCTTTCCCTCTGAAGCACTGACTCCCTACATCTGGGGGCCTCTTACTCCTTTCAAGGCCAAGCAGTTCGCCAGGCCTTTCTCCCAAGGCACTCGGGGCAGATTCGAACGGTCACCCTGGCAGTTAGTAGCCTGATGGCACCACTCGGACTCCGGGAGGCAGCAGAGCACGGGCTAAGGTGTGCTGGCCCTGGAGGCTGGTGCCTCGGTCATCTCTGCTTCCCCTTTGTAGCTGAGCCGCCCTGAGAGGTGGCTGCATCCGTCTGTGACTTGGTTTCCAAAGTGTACAACAAGGGTCATCTGATAAGGACCCTGAGGGGGTGGCGGGCCCAGCGGGTTCCTTGGTGCCCAGCTGCCACCCTTGGCCACACCAGGGGCTAGTCCCCAGGTGGGAGTCATAGACTGCGCTGCTCGGACCCTTCTCCTTTCAGCAGGAGTAGAGTTCTTAGGGCCTCTGAGGGCATTCAAAGCAAAGTCACTGCCATGTCAGCTCATAACAATGCTACAGGACAGTAGAACTGCCCCTGTGGGTGCCCGAGACTGTCATTGTTGACTGAAGGAGAAAGCCCCACGCAGCGGTTGGTGGCTTCAAACTGCTGACCTTGCAGTTAGCAGTCCAATGTGGCGTATCCACCACACCACCAGGATGCCTAGTGCATTCTATAGACATTATGTTAAAAAACAGGAGCAAGCCCTCACGTGACTTAAGTCTTTCAGAGCAGTTAGCGCATGTTTATGCAGACTGCCCAGGTCCTCTGTCCCCCGCCTGGCCACTGCCTCACCCAAAGGATGAACCAGGGACCCCGCTAGCTAATGCGATCTCCGTTTGCCCCTCAATGCAGGAGACGTTCGCGATATTCATCTTTGGAGCCGAGTTTGCGTTGAGGATCTGGGCCGCGGGATGCTGCTGCCGATACAAAGGCTGGCGGGGCAGGCTCAAGTTCGCCAGGAAGCCCCTGTGCATGCTGGGTAAGCCAGGGTCCTGGAGCGCCCAGGCCACCCCCTGCCTCACTCTCTGTGTGTCTCTGTCACACACAAGCACATGCAGATTCTCTGAAGGAAGGTTAAGCCTGCACTCTTTTGTGGGGGGAGGGGACATCTACCGGCAGCTCAGAGGACAGGGCAGTGACTTTGACAACACTCTTCAGTGACCTTTTTCTTCCCTGCGGACCTCGCCCCCCCGCCAATTTGTGCTTCCTGAGATCCCCCGGCTGCCCTCAAGTCATTTCTGACTCCTAACTCCCAAGGACAGAGCAGAACTGCCCAGGGCATGGTCCCCGGGCTGTAAAACTCTAGGAAAACACACAGCCGCCTCCTACTCCCTCCTAGAGGCTAGTGGGCCTGGGCAGCCAACCTTGCCGCTCAGCAGCCCCGCACTTAACCAGTGTGCCACCAGGGAAGCCCGCATGAAGCCAGCCTTGGAACTTCGGGTCTCCCCTCCACCGCCTGGGCTGCCCTCGCCCCTCGCCCCTACCCCCAGTGCCTGGGGCTCTGTGCCCTTGGCAGGTCCCTCCCGGGGCAACCTCGCCCCACCTGGCGCGTCGGTGCAGAGACAGAAAACAGCCAGGCGGGGTCGCGCGCTGCCACCTACCCGCGGGCAGTGCCAGGACCAGGACAGCGCTGATCCGGGCCGCCCCCTCCCCAGACATCTTCGTGCTGATCGCCTCCGTGCCAGTGGTTGCTGTGGGGAACCAGGGCAATGTGCTGGCCACGTCGCTGCGGAGCCTGCGCTTCCTGCAGATTCTGCGCATGCTGCGGGTGGACCGGCGTGGCGGCACCTGGAAGCTCCTGGGCTCGGCCATCTGCGCCCACAGCAAAGTAAGTCCGCCCCATGGGGCGTCCACCGCCTCTGATGAGGCTGGACCCCGTGTTAGGGCCCCGCCAGAGGTCTCTCTCTACAGGTCATAGGGTACAATAGGAGATGCGGGACTCCACCGCCCTTTCCCCTCCCAGAGGCTCATGGGACCCAGTGTGGGGAGATTATGTTGCCTCTCTGCCCTCCCCCCGCAATGGCTCACAAGCCCCCTCTCTTCCCTCCGGTACCACCAGCTCCATGGGGCCTTACTCCCTCCAGTTCTGTGCTGGGGCCAAGATGAGGTGGCACCCTCCGTAGTCTCATGTACTTAGCCCTTTTCTACGGCAGCCCTGGTGGTACACTGTCTAAGTGCTCACCTTTGAACCCAAAAGGTTGGCGGTTCGAGCCCAGGAGCCGCTCGTCAGGAGAAAGATCTGGCAATCTGCTCCTGTAAAGACTGACTGGCTTGGGGGCTCTATGGGGCCTTCTGCTCCCCCTGTTAGTTAGCATCACAGTGAGTTGGCGTTGACACCATGCCAGGGGATCTTTCTGGCTCTGCTTCTAGGACACTGAACAAAGGTGGGGGGTGCGGTGGGACAATGCACCAGGAGGGAGCTCACAGTTGCCCTCAAGCGTGCCAACCATCACCCACGTCACTGCCAGCTGAACAGCCCCAGACCACCCCCACCACCAACAACTGCAGGGTTCTCTGGTCCGGGGGCCTGGCCCAGGGTGGTAGGGGGTGGTTTCCTTTGATTGCGCCTCCCAGAGAATAAAGATGAACGTGGCAGTCAGGCAGCACCTTGGTGCAAATTCATCCCTCCCTTCTGCCCACTGCCGGGTCATCCAGAGGCCGTTCTTGTCTCAGGAACTTCCGAGGGTGGTGGTGGTGGGGGGCGGGGTAGCAGGTGAACCCTCCGGGCTACTCAGGGTCCGGTCAGCAGTCGCATTGCTTCCTAACACTGGGCTCTTCATTCCAGGTATGTTCCTCTGACCCTCCCATACAAGAATATTGAAGAGTAAATCTAACACTGTTGCTACGAGGGTTTCAGGGCACACATCCATGGGTTGATTCCAACCAAACCTGCTTCCACACGCCCCTGCAGCCCGTGGGAGGCCACGGACCAGCTCTGCCAGTGGAGCCCGTAGCTTGGTCTTGTAAGAGTGAAAGAAAGAGGAGGCCAGTCCCAACAGTGGCTTCCCGGGGAGCCGCTGGGCCAATTACATGTCAGGCAGCGAGGTCAGCTCAGAAGGTGATGGCGACTGTGTTCTGAGAATTCCAAACAGATCCTCTTGCTAGATTCTTACTCAAGGACACAGGGCAGTCATAGGGTTTATTAGGAAGACATTTTAAGACCATGGAAAAAGACTGCATTGCTGAGGGAAAAAAGAATCAGGGAAATTGTACTGAGGAAGTTTTTTTCCCCACCCTGACACAGCACCTGCTCCTCCTTGGATGGGAGCCAAAGCTGTCCTGTGAGAATTCCACTTGGGAATTTGACCCCCGCTCACCGATGGCCCTGATCCTGCCCCCTTCAGACTTCCTTTGGTTCCTCAAAGTCGAAGAACATGTGCAGGGAACAGGAATGGAGTCGCTCAGGGATGCCAGGCCACCCTGTTCCCACGGCGTAAAGCCAGAGAACCGGGCACTCTCCCGGGAGCGGTTGGAGCGATGGAAAGAGTCCTTCCAAGTGTCCCGAATGCACATGTTGGGAAATCAGAGCTTCACCGTTCGGTATTTTGTTTAATAAAGGTCTCTACGATTTTAGAATAATACTTCTAAACTATAAGATGAAACAACCATTTAAACCACCGAGGAGCCTCTCTCTCACCTTAGACTAATTTCTGGCCGTAAACACTGATTGTGGCTACAGAGCTGTGAACGATGAACGATGGAGCTGCCTTCCAGAATTCTCTCCTGCTCCCGACTGTCGGTTTTCTCCTCCATAAGAGGACGTTGCTGTGACAACAGCCCAGGCCCAGCCATCACCTTGTACCCATGCGACAGAGCTGATTCACAGCTGCTGTGGAAACTGAGGCAGTGAGACCGTAAATGCCTGCTTCGGGTCCCTCCTCCGTGTTCCCTGGGCTTAGAATAGATCCTGATGTCTGCTGAGTATCAACCTGTAATTAACAGGGACAGTTGGAAGTGTGCTTTGAGCTCCCTAAAAAGAGGTGCCTTCACCTCACAAATAGATACACACACACACACACACCACAGCTGGAGCCAAGTAGACAAATTCTGAGACAAACCCCCATGCCTGTTAGAAGACTGGGTATGAACGGAGGCAGAGGCAGAGAAAGCATGCTTACCAACTCTGGTCCCGGGTCCCCCGAAGACCCCCTCCTCTGGGCCCCTCTCTCCTGGGAGACGAGCACTGGTGCAGCAGCCCCCTTACTAACCGTGAGGGCGGCGGCGGGGGTGGGGGTACTCTGAGCCTCCCCTTCCTCGGTCTAACAGCATCCGGTCTATGTGATACAGCTGCTGTGGTGATTAACTCAGATGCTGTATGCCAGGTGTCTGGTGCGGGGCCTGCGTCAGAAGCAGTGCCCCACGAGTGTAGCTGGTTCCAGTAGCTGTCCGGTTGGCTCTGACTCCTGGCAAAGTCCCCCTGCCAGCTGTGTGTCATAGGAGAATCACGCCAAACTGAGCCCACTGCTGGTGAGCTCCAAGGGCATCGCCTCAGCCTCTGGGACCAAGTAGCGCTGCCCCCAGAGGGGTTCTGTGGCTCAATCTTTACTGAAGCAGGTGACTAGTTGCGTCCTTCGAACCTCCAGCCAGGTAATTAACCTCTGCGCCACTAGGGCTTCTCTGACTGGGCTCCAGGAGGCCTGACTGGAAGTGGACAGCAAGGCCATACTGATCTACTACTGAGTGGACATGAACCCCTAGCTTTTCAGGGAGTCAGCACCCTCATAGTGTGTCCACCCAGGACGCCCCCTGAACGTGGGCCATTACCAGTCAGCTTCTACCTCACGGGAGGAGGGCAAAGTAGATGATGCCTGCCCACCTGATTCCCCACAAGGGATAGAGCCAGCCAACGGGTACACCTTTCAAAGGGTCAGGACATGCTGCCTGATGCAGGGTTGAGCTACGGACTGTAGGGGGCAGTACCCGTGTGCATCATAA